ACGGGGTTTCACCATGTTGACCAGGATGGTCTCGATCTCTTGACCTCGTGATCCACCCGCCTCGGCCTCCCACAGTGCTGGGATTACAGGCTTGAGCCACTGTGCCCGGCCACCAATTACTATCTTATTCCAAATTATCTGCCAACATTTCCTCCTCCTTCTGCCCCCTTCGGGCTCTCATTTTGCTGTCCAAATGTAACAGAAATATAAATTGTAAGACAGTTTTGCATATGCCTTTTCTATACATAATTTTGGAAAGTTAATAAATTCTGGTAATGAATATCATTGTGATGAAAATATAAAAAAAACACTATGTTTCATTTTAATGAGGATACTACAGATGTTTGCCATTACATGGGACTGTCCCCTACACAGGACATTCAGCATCCCTGGTCCTGCTCAATAAATGCAAGTCACTGTGACAATTCAAAACACTCCTACACATTTTCAAACACCCATGGTTGAGAACCACTTATGCAAAAGCACATTTTTGGCTTTGTGACTTCTATATCAGGTGTTACTTACAAGTGGAGTCCTAACCCATAGCCTGGCCCGGCCCAGCCCAGCACTCTCTGTACTTTCCTCTTGACTATCTCAGTCTTCCACCTGATAGGACAACATCCAACTGTTTGTAGCACACTGCATACCGGCTGCCCACACAATGGAGGGGCCACCTATTTACCTGATCTACTCCCTCTGCAGTAACATACCTCACCCGCATTTGTTGCTTGGCTGACTCCTACTGTTTGAGATTCAGCTAAATCTGCCACCTCTCACTCCAGCCTTCTCTCTCAAGCTGGGTAGTATCCTGGCCCTTCCATTTACTAGCTGTGTGACCATGGGAAAGTTACTCAACTTGCCTTAGCTTCCTCTTGTGCAAAATGGAAAACTGCCTATCTTATCGGATTACTGTGAGGATAAAACACATTTAAAGAGCTTAACACAGTGCCTAGAACTTGGGACACACTAAGTAATAGGTAAAATTTCTTTTTCACTGCTCTAAACTCACAATTGCCTAGCAAGTATATGGGACATACAGGCATTTACATTTGCTGAATATTTACAACACTCATCAAATTGTACTAAAATAGCCTGTCTTTCACTGGATATGGCAGAGGCTATGTCTCACTTGTCTGAAAGCAGTGTGGAACACACAGCAGAAACTTAGTGAATATTTACTGAATTAATTGGTTATCATTCTTGAAAAGTTCACCAATATAACACGAAACACTTACTTTTTTCCTCTGTGGTGGGTTCTGGGGAGCAGATGGGACTCCTTCACAGGCTCTTTCACCACCAGGTGACAAGGATCCACGAGAGAGGTCTTTCATTAAGCCATGTTCATATCTGCTGGAAAATCCTTCTGCAGGGGAACAATATCCCCCATCCAAATGTAAAGGCTTCCTATCCCCTACTAGAGGAGACCCTCGATACAGTCCATCTGCTCGAGGCATAGCGTTCAAAGGGGAGTAGGCATACATCAAGTTGAATTCTGTCCGAAATGCCTGGTCTGAGTTTCTCATGAGGGTCTGATGTCCATCTCCACTTCTGCTTGGGAAACCAGTCTCAGAAGTGGGTCCAATGGAAGGATGAGGAGCCAGGTCAGAATGACCTGAGTTGAGCAGGGAAGGTCTATCAGCACAGCTGTTAGTGTTGGAGTCAAGGTATCCTACTTTTGCCAAATCCAGGTCTTTTCGGTGACAAAGCTGAAAGAATAAAAATCAACGGAGACATGGGGTAGGGGAGAAAGGAAAAAGTCAAAGGGCAGAAAGGAGGGGAAGAAGGACATAGGTGAACAGGGAAAGATAAGAGGGATAGAAGTAGAGCGAAAAAGCCATTATATTCTGTAAATGTAGCAACAGAATACACGCAGCAACAGTGTACATTGGCCAGAGTACTACAGAATCCCGGCCTTTCCCAAATTGCTTTCAAGTCTTTCTGGATGGGAAATACTGGGAAAGTTAGAATTAGGTAATTGGCTAAATGTGACTATTTTGACTGCTTAGTCTTTCATCAGGTTGCTGAGTAACCTTGTATTACACTAAGGGACAAGTGGTATAATTAGGAATTTACCTTTGCCCCATGCACACTACAAAGATGAGACTGGTGTCTTAAGATAACTGGCGTCTGGGTTTATTCATTTCTAAATTAATATTGATGGAAGGTTGGGGGAGGGAAAAAGGTGGAGGAAAGGAGAAGGTAAGTATTTAAGTTACTGGTTCAGTAAAGGAGGATGGCATTAAAGACATCAACCAACCAGTTCTTGACTCACTTTCACTGTTAAAGAAGGTATGTTTCTCATACAACTTTCTGGCCACTCAATTCTTCTTTCTTTATCCTCTAATGTATGTCAATATACCACAAAACCACTAATGCTCATCACTGCAGATTATGAAATGCTGAAATGTACCAAAAATAAACTCCACCTACTATTTGGTTATCATAACCTCCAAACTTCCAATAAATAAATACTAGGTCAACTACAGCTAACCGTCTACAAAGAATGGTACCAGAAAACCAGATACCATACCATATCAGTCTCCAAATTATGCTATCTTAGAATCTTTAACAACTGGAAGAGACAGCATTACTTTTCTAACAAGCTGGAGTCAAAACACCAAGAAAATCTCTAGTATATTAGTGGAATACAACCTTTTTCAGTTTCACATTGACCTTTAAACTACTACTGTTTCAGAATTTGGTAAATTGTCACTGAATTATGCCCTAATTTTTTATTGGAAGGTGGTGGGGTTACAGTTCAGTTCAGTATTTCTGAGACTCAAACTTTCCCTTCAAGAGAAAAAAGGTCCCATGTATTAATAGATTCAGAGTTAATCATTACCACACTCAAAAACTTATAATAAAAACGCTAACACTAAAATCTGAATCTGACATATCCACAGCAGCAGGGTTTGTGAGAAAAGCATTCTACTGATATCCTAAGAGGTAACACTTGTACAGCAACCATATCCTAGCCATTGCAGAATGGTGACCTGTGACACAAAGCCAGGGACTCACTTCGTTTCCATGTGTATCCAGTAAGGAGCTACAGAGAAAATGTAGAAAAGCTGAAAGATAGAATAACTTTCCCTTCCTAAAGAGGCTGCTTAATCTATCAACCAAAGACCAAAACATCTGGTTTACAGAGCTGTCAAATTAACCTTAGAACAAGGCGTAAGTCAACACCCAACTCAAAAACAGGCTTACAAACTTGACTCAACGTTCCTTATTTATTAACAGACCTTATTCATTACCCTTTCTTTAACAAGGCTCCTGCCACATATCAGCATCTTGACTTCTAGATTCTATTCTTTAATAGAACTTCAGCCACCCCCTCCCCCAAAACAATAAAAACCAACCCACCACACACACACACACACACACACACACACACACACACACACACGGCTACTTCATTTTCCTCCATCTACATTGACAGTCCTGTGTAGTCACAGTCACACAGGAAGACTCATTCAACTTACTGTGACTAAGCGGCCGCCCTCCAGCCCATCACCCCACTCATTCAGATCCCCGGCCCTCCCCATACTCTCAGGAACACATTCATGAACACTCACTCTCAGCCTCCAAGTGTGATTGAGATGGTGTGATAACTACCTCGGGTGACAGGGACTCGGGCCTATGCGCAGGGGAACTCTCAGGGGAGGATATGTTCTAGAGGAGGGAAAAGCATCTTGTTATTCATCTACTCGAAGTCAAGAAGCAAAACAAAACAAACAAAAAATAAAAGCAAGCATAGATGTTAGCCACAACTTTTTTGCGGGGGGCGGGGGGGGGAATTGAATAAGAATGCATAGGGGAAATGTTTAACTGCAGAACTCATCTCAATGGACAGAATGACTTGTTAAAATGCTTCCTGGTGTCTTTGAAAGCATTTAAGGATAAATTGGTTATAATGTTTCATGCTATAAGTAAACATCTCAAGCACATATCAGGAAAGAGTTAGATTGGTGAAGGTTTGGTGTTATACTTCTTTGTATTTTAGATGAGAGTTTAGCAACCTTTAGTATTTGCTACTGAGGGGGCACCCTACCCCTTATTCCTCATTAGATGGACCTTGTTCCTTCACCCAATGTCTCTTCTACTTGTCACGTTTCTTTATTCTCTTATATGCCTCAGGCCCCCACCCCTGCTATTCAGGGGGAGATGTTAGTGTGCTGGGGGCTGACATGGTTAGAGAGATGGCCAGTTCTTCCTGAATGACAGTTACAGGAAACATGATTGATGGAATCCCTAGCTCACAGGTTAGAGCTGGTTCTTTGCGTAGTCTAATTAGACCTGAGCACCCCTATTAATCTTATTTTGTAAAATCCAGTGTACTTTTGGCAACACAGCAGACAAAAAATGTATATGTATACTTAAGTTCCTGCATCCTACAGAGGACTCTACCTTGGGACTTTCAGCTGAGGCAGAACTCCAATAACAGAGACTGAGCAGTGAGTGCTTAATGGAAAGATGTAAATGGGAACATGTATGGAGAGTGATGGTGGTAGTGTGACAAGGACGCAGGAGTGCTAGGGCTGATGTAAGGAAAGGGTGCCTAATGTGGATAACTGTGGCCTAGGTGGTAGGTGTACGCTGAGGTAGTGGGAAACTGAGGCTGCTTCAGCAAAGCAGGGTTTCGGCTATAAATTTTCCTTGGCATGGAAAGTGGGTGGTGCACAACTGTGTGTGAAATAGAAAGTAGAGTATGGCTCTCAGGGCAAGAAAAGAAGGGGAGAATTATCCTGGTGGAAAGGAGAGGCTAACTAAGCTTGCCCTCCCAATGTTGCTTTCATTCTTCTTTCTAGATGCTTTCCCCTCCTGAAGATCTTGTTCTCTTCCACCACTTATCTTCTTCCCTTAGCACTTAAAACTTCTTACTATTTTCCTGAATGCTTTTCCCCTTTTCAAAAATACCCTTCCCCAAACTAAGCTGATAAGGTGTGTGTGTGTTTTTTTTTTTTTTTTTTTTTTTTTTTTTGAGAGTCTTGCTCTGTTGCCTAGGCTGGAATGTAGTCGCGCAATATTGGCTCACTGCAACCTCCCAGGTTCAAGCAATTCCCGTGCCTTGGCCTCCCGAGTAGCTGGGATTACAGGTGTGTCCCACTGCACCTGGCCTAAGCTGGTCTTTTAATTTATTTATTTTTAGAGACAGGATCTCACTGTTGCCCAGGGTGGCATGTAGGGACACAATAATGGCTCACTGCAGCCTTCAACTCCTGGTCTTAAGTGATCTCCCTGCTTCAGCCTCTCAAATGGCTGGGACTACAGGTGTATGCGAGTACACCTGGCTAATTTTTGTATTTTATTTTTGGAGAAATGTGGTCTATGTTACCCAGGATGGTCTCAAACTCCTGGCCTCAAGCAATCCTCCTGCCTCAGTCTCCCAAAGCACTGTGATTACAGGTATGAGACCAGCCTAAGCTGGTCTTTATATATGACACCTTTTTGATATTTCACAATGTGTCAAGCCTTTGATACAAATAAGGCTCCCCACCTCTCTGTACTAGAAAACACAGAAAAGAGTATGGCCATTAAAATGGTGATTAGAATGGGTTAGGGTGGTTAAAATCTGTTCTATTATTGACGAGAAATGTTATATTTCCTTAGTGAAAATGCAAGTGGAACCATGCTTGGACCTTTTACTATTTAGTATTTTCCTTACCTCCTAATATTTTAACATTATGCTTGGACTGTATCATTAAAATGATTACCAATTTAAAAAAATAATCTTATATTTGCAGTGTTTAATAGTTATCCCAAATACTAGAAGGGATAAGGAATGCACTGGGTACTTAACCTGCTTGTTTTGGAAAGTGACTTACCTTCTAATTTTCATAATTCCACATTTATAATAAAACCTGTATTGATAAAGTATGAAACTCTATTCCTACAATCTTATGCCCTCCAGGGAGAATTCTTCTATGATACCTTACTATACAGCTCTAGGTGCAACTGCAAAGTCAACTGCAAGTAGATAAAGTTAGAAAGGCCTTAGTCAGCTGCTTTATTATCTGGCTGAAAGAATGTCACAAAGATCTGGTAAAGAGTAATTTCCCTAGAAAACTCATTATGTAACCAGGAGGTGTTTTCCCTCACCAAGAAAGAGGTCTGCTCCAAAAGCAGAGGTCTAGGGTAAGACAGAGTATAGTTTTGCTTTCAATGTTGCTAGCTATCCCTTTCTGATTTACTCATATAAAAATCCAAGTATTATGAATCCTCACGTTTCCAAAAGCTGAGTAGGAAAGATAAGATTGGTTAGAACCTTCACCTTTCTCAAAAAACACATCTGGAGAAGTGCAAGCAAGGGGGCAGAGTGTGTTTAGTGGTCAGAACAGATTTTTCTGAGAAGAGACAGTGTCTATTTTAATTACGAATCAAAGTAACATGCAATAGATGAAGTGTTTTAAAAAAGTATAAATGGACTGTATTCAAACCTGCTGTCACCCAAACCTGAACGCTAAAGTGATTCAAAATTACTTTTTGAAATAGGTGAGACAGACAGAAAATTTCTAACTTAATCCAACAGTGAAGGTAATACATGAACACATGTTGCTAGTCTCTTGTTTACTTCTCATTCCTAAGACATTATAACAAAGAGGGAAAGTAACCTGGAGTGGAAAAAATCCGCATTCACCATAAGCCATACTCCAATGTTTTCTAAATCTCTGTTCACGAAGGTCACAATGAAAATACCTAACAACCTGGGAAAGACACTTCACTTATTTAAAGGCCTAGAAACAATCAATCAATATCATCTGTGCTCTAAGGCTGGTGTTACTAACAGATACTATAGGCAGCTAGAGGCCTATTTTGATCAAAGTATACAGTAAAGATAAAGATGGAGATCTAGCATGCTTACTACCTAAAATTATGGAGACTGATGGATTGCATGCAAAAGATACATGAATGGGATTTGTGGTAGCACCGTGCCTATTCTAGGAAGTACAGGGGCTGCCAAGATGAGAGGCTACCAGTTAACAGGCCACAATGACCCTGAGATTTCCCATTCTCTTGCTGAGATGGGGAAGGAAGATAGTAAAGAAACATCTGGAAAGGTATTATATTTGAAATGAGAAGGTACAAGTGATGATTTTCATATCCAGCACTCCCGACAACCAAACCCAAATCACCTCAAACTGCAGAGGAGTGTTGCAGCGACTAGCAGTAGTAAGAGATGTGACTGGTGAAAACATGAGGCTGTATCCATTTCGACACTCCTCTTCTCCTGGGTGTGATGAGCCAGGTGTGGCTAGCTGGGGGCTCTTTGAGCCTGAATTGGGAGGGGGTGGTGTGACTGGAGACAGAGGCCGAAGTAATTTGGTGACATTCTGCTCCATCATATAGCGAGACTTCCATTTCTTTAATGGGCTCAACAAGTCTGTGAAACACAAAGCTTGGATGAGAGTTTGAAACCACAGATTAATGGAAGGCTTTATAGTAAAGCCATTAATCTGCAATCTACAATGGCTCTTAACTGTTTTCTGCCTCATCCCATTAAGTTATCGCCTACAATCAAACCAAAATCCCAAAGAAACTCTTTAATTACCACACTTAAAATAATTCCAAAATATTCTATCTCCCAAACTCCAGATAAATCTAACGATTCTAGTGACTGATCCCTAGAGCTAATTTAATTTCTACCAGTGCAAAATATAAATTTCTTTCATTTATTTATTTATGAGACGGAGTCTTGCTCTGTCGCCAAGGCTGGAGTGCAGCAGCGTGATCTTCTCGGCTCACTGCAAATTTTGCCTCCTAGGTTCAAGCAATTCTCCTGCTTCAGCCTCCTAAGTAGCTGGGATTATAGGCACGCACCACCATACCCGACTAATTTTTGAATTTTTAGTAGAGATAGGGTTTGGCCATGTTGGCCAGGCTGGTCTTGAACTCCTGACTTCAGGTGATCTGCCTGCCCTGGCCTCCCAAATTGCTGGGATTATAGGCATGAGCCACTACTAAATTCATTTCACACTGAGTTTCTGAAAATCTTCAGTTTCCGTTACTTTGTCAAAGTTACCCTCTACTAAACTCTTATATCACCAACTAAAGGTACTGGGATGCTAAATCCAAACTCCTTTCACCATTTCCCATATATTTGTGTCCCTTTTCAGTAGCTCTTCCTGTAATGTTCTTATATGATTCCCTGATCTGTATCCAGCTCCTTTTCTACCTACAAAGCGTGAAATGATTTCTAGAAAAACTTCTTCAAACCATTAAAAAATTAGGCTCATACTCTTTTTGACTAGAGTAATCCTATTTTCTGTAATTCTTAGATCCACTTAAAAAGCAAGTTACTATACTAAATATTTTAGTGACCATTCAGGCCAAAGCACCTTTCTCACTTGAGTCTCAGAATAAAAATATAGTTTTATTTATTTACAGTTAAAAAGATTTATTTATTTAATGCCTACGATTACTGAACTCGGTATGAAGGGAAAAATGGTCATCACACATTCTATTCTCCTGCCTCAGCCTCCCGAGCAGCTGAGACTACAGGCACTCACCACCTCGCCCAGCTAATTTTTGTATGTTTAGTAGAGACGGGGTTTCACCATGTTGGCCAGGATGGTCTCAATCTCTTGACCTTATGATCCACCTGTCTCAGCCTCCCAAAGTGCTGAGATTACAGGCATGGGCCACCGCTCCCAGCCTGATCACCTTTCTTGATCATACTAATATGCTGTCTATTTCTTTTTTTTTTGTCGTCATTGTTGAGAAGTTTCCTCCCTCTGTCACTCAGGCTAGAGCGCAGTGGCACAGTCTCAGCTCACTGCAACCTCTGCCTCCTGGGTTCAAGTGATTGTTGTGCCTCCACCTGCTGAGTAGCTAGAACTACAGGCATGCATCACTATGCCTGGCCAATTTTTTTTGTGTAGTAGAGACAGGGTTTGCCATACTGGCCAAGCTGGTCTCAAACTCCTGGCCTCAAGTGATCTGCCTGCCTCAGCCTCCCAAAGTGCTGGGATTACAGGTGTGAGCCACCACACTTGGCCCACTTTCTGTTTCTTACAGACTTTAAGCCTCTTTTTTTTTTCCCTTAAGACGGACTCTTGTTCTGTCACTCAGGCTGCAGTGCACTGGCATGATCTTAGCTCACTGCAGCCTCTGCCTCCCAGGTTCAAGCGATTCTCCTACCTCAGCCTCCCAAGTAGCTGGAATTATAGGAACCTGGCATCATGCCTGGCTAATTTTTATATTTTTAGCAGAGACAGGGTTTCACCACGTTGGCCTGGCTGGTCTTGAATTCCTGACCTCAAGTGATTCACCCACCTGGGCCTTCCAAAGTGCTGGGATTATAGGCTTAGGCCATCGCACCCGGCCACATCTATCTATAATACTCTTAATCAATAGGTTAAAGTATATCCCCAAGACTTGGTGGATGGAAGGAGTGACATTTATTCCTGTGCTTCAAGGAAAATATTTGGGTCAGGAAGATTAATCTGGAAGCAATAGGCAGTATGAGACTGGTAACTAGAAAACCATCTGGAGTTTATACAGTAGTTAGCAAAAGAGTATGAGGCACTAAACTAGGGTAGGAGATGTCTGAAGAGAGAAGAATAAATGCAAAAAAATGTTGAAGATGTATGTTTTTCCTTTCTGATGTCTCAGAATTTTTAATATGCCTAGGCTGGAAGTATATTTTCATTTTCCTTTTGTTCCAGATACTAAATTTTCTTTCCTCCTTTTAAGAAGTGCCTAGATATAAAACGCAAACAAACATGTAATTCATGGCTTATATTCAGAATAACTTTTATATATTTAATATTTCAAGGGTCTTAAAAAATGGAATCTTTCAGACAATCTCTGTACTGCTAAGTCCAACACTGTAACTACTAAAGTAAGTTACATTATGAAATTAGTTGTAGAAAAAAGTTGTAAGATATAGGTGAAAACTGTCACCTGCAAATCAATGTACATGGCATTCATTCAACATACATATACTGAGTACTTATTATGCTACTGTATTCAACAAGAGACCTAATGTCTGCCCTTAAGAAGTTTAAAGGCCAGGCCGGGCGCGGTGGCTCACGCCTATAATCCCAGCACTTTGGGAGGCCGAGGCGGGTGGATCATGAGGTCAAGAGATCGAGACCGTCCTGGTCAACATGGTGAAACCCCGTCTCTACCAAAAATACAAAAATTAGCTGGGCATGGTGGTGCACGCCTGTAGTCCCAGCTACTCGGGAGGCTGAGGCAGGAGAATTGCTTGAACCCAGGAGGCGGAGGTTGCGGTGAGCCGAGATCGCGCCATTGCACTCCAGCCTGGGTAACATGAGCGAAACTCCGTCTCAAAAAAAAAAAAAAAAAAAAAAAAAAAAAGAAGTTTAAAGGCCAAAGAAGGGCAGTCATTTGCCTACTTTTTCTTTTCCCTGCATATACAGTTTCTAAATTTTAGGTGGTCAAATCGATCCATCCTTTATTATTGTTTTTAACCTTTACTCAAAAAAAATGACCAAGGTTATATAAACATATGCACAACTGGAAAATCACAGACAAATAAACACATGCTAATATCCTACCAAATTTTTATCCAGACATTGCTTCACTGACTCTTGCCTTACCCACCCTACTCAATAATTACTTTCACTCAGAAATACATGGTTAAGATTTTTTTATGACAATGAATAGAAATCTACAGTTCAGGTTTAATGGCTGCAGACTCAAAATTATTATCAAAATTTAACCAGTTTAAGTATTTTTCATTTTTTGCTATTAGAACAAATGGCTACATGTAGGATTATTAAATCAAAAGAATATCTACATATGTGTACTAATGTTATATTTAGTCCTGTGAGAACTGCCGGCTCATGTTCTTCAGCCTGCATTCTACCAGGGTGTTGGGGTCTTTTTCTTCATCTGTAAGGGTCTTTAAATACTAAGAATGTTGACCCTTTGTCAATAAAATTACAAATGTATTTTTTCAGTTTACCGACTGCCTTTCAATTTTATTTACATGTTTTGTTTCTATTTAGTCAAATGGACCATTTTATTTTCTGCCTCCGATATAATGTTTTTATTAACCCATGCTGAGACTGTAAAAATGCCAGGCTATTTTCCTTTCATCTCCATGTTTAATTTTAATTTACATTTTAATTTTAAAAAGCCGTATTTTATTTCACATTGATAAACTGCCATAAAAAAAGAAAAAAGAACATACTCAAGTATGGGGTAGCAATTAATCCATCCTTTTCCTATAACAAATTGCTAGCACCTTCTTCCAAAATCTTCTGTAATTGCAAAATAATTGTAATTTCCCCATTAATTTGAAATATTTTATTTATCTTATTAGATTCTTACGTATGCTGGGTTTATATTCCGAATGTTTATTTCTGAATGTTATTCTTTCCACTTATTGTCGAATATGGAATCAACGCCAGCATACTAAAATTGTTAGGGCAATTCCAGTTATTCTATTCTAGTTTCCCAAAATACTTTAGGTATTCTAGCAACGAACTGTAGAAATCATTCAACGACCATGCCGACACTATTAAAGAAAAAAAAGGTTAGGATTTTGATTGGCGTTACATGAAGTTCAGGAGTAATTTGAGAAGCATTCTTACTCAGGAACATGGCATAATCTTTGTTATTCACATCTTTTGTCCTTCTTCATCTAGATATACCACATGTCTAATTAGGTTTACTCTCCAGAGTTCTTTGGATTTTTTACTATTATGAATAGGACGTATCTCTCCCTTTGTTATCTAAATGTTATTAACATTTTAAAACTTTACATATTTATTTTTTATCTAGCTACCTTATTAATCTCTACCAGCTTTCCAGATAATTCTCTAGGTGGATGACAGTATTTGTACATTGTAACAACACTAAGTGCCCTCTTTACCAATACTTGTATCTCTTACGTTGCTTTTTTTTGGGGTGGTAACTGCTTTGGCTAAGGACTGGACTATGTTAAATAATAATGGTAATAAGGGATAATTCGAGAACTGATTTTAAGGTTTAACTAGTTTTCATGATGCATGACAAACTGGCAATTTTTCAGCTAGATTGTTAAAAAAATCTTAAGTATGTTATTTTACCATTAAATTGATACATCCTTACATGCCTAGAAGGAACCTCAGTCATAGTATATATTTTTAAAATATTCTTACAAATTCAAGGTGCTAGCTAAGATCACAAATCTTATTCAAAAGTGGTACTATGCTATTTTTGGAGGTAGAGGGAGTTAATTTGATAAAATGAATCAAGAATAAAATTTTTAATAAATAGTATATGATATTCCATTACAGGTATGTACACAAGCAGATAAAATTACAAATTCTACCATTTTCGGGGTTGGAATTCAGGTTATTTTTAACCTATAGTTTTGGCAATTGTTAGTAACTAAGTATTATTCTAATAACCAATTCATTCAACTTATGAAGTGTTGAACAAATTGGGCTATGAAGTTTTGTCTCACCCACCATGTTCACCTGACCTCTTGACAACCAACTTTTTGCAGGGAAAGCAGTTCCACAAAATACAGAAAACATTTTGCAAGAGTTTGTCGAATCCTGAAGCATGGATTTTTATGCTACAGGAACAAACAAACTTACTTCTCATTGGCAAAAATGTGTTGACTGTAGTGGTTCCTATTTTGATTAATAAAGATGTGCTTGAGTCTAGTTACAGTGATTTAAAATTAACGGTCCAAAACTGCAATTACTTTAGACCAACCTGAGATATAAATTTTGGTTTCTCTGTCTGTTTCTATAGGAAAGATACCAAGAAGAGCAAATGAACAACTACTAAGTTAAGGAGTATGAATATTTTTAATGTATATGATAAATCTTACCAAATTGCTAGCAGGGATATTACTGTCCTGTCAGTTTTACTGCAAATCCTTTCCCCCATTTATTAATCCTCTAATAATTCAGAGACAATATAGACACAGAAACATGGTTAACATAGTTTGAATTATTTATTATTATTTTTAGAGATACTTGTCTTGCTATCATTCAGACTGGAATACAGTGGCACTATCACAGCTCAAGGCAGCCTCAAATTCCTGGGCGCAAGCCATCCTCCTACATCAGCCTCACTAAGGGTACAGGCAACACAATACCATGCCTGGCTAATTTTTATTTTTTGTAGAGATGGGGGTCTCTCTACATTGCCCAGGCTGGCCTCAAATTCCTGGCCTCAAGTGATCCTCCTACCCTGGCATCCCAAAGAGCTAGAGTTGCAGGTTAGAGTCACCATGCCAGGCCCAAGTTTGAAGTAAAAAATATATATATATATTTGAATGCACCTAGAATTTTCTTTGGCAAAGGACTTAGTCCTTTTAAAGAAAGGGTCTTGCTGTGTTGCCCAGGCTGAACTTCAACTCCTGGGCTTGAGTGATCCTCCTACCTCAGTCTCCCAAGTAGTTGAGAGTTACAGGTACCTGTCACTATGTCCGGCTAGAATCTAATTCTTTTCCAATCTCCTCAGTTAGTAAAAATTCCAGGACAATTTACCAACTTTTACATTTATATTCAGGCCTGTTCTATTT